GAATTAAAAGCGGATTACGGAAAATTAAACTGCTAAAAATAATTATTTGAATTGTTTGAAAAAAAGTCATACGTTATTTTTTTTCTTTTTTATAGATATTTAGGGCTTACTAGCAGCTACAAAATAAAAAAACTTACCTCTCCAGTGCTTTAAAAAGTCGTACTCTTTCTCATAGCAATCTCGGCAAATTTTTTAATGGTTAACAGTACGCAGTGGGAGGCTATGTAAACCCCTGGGGTTCAGAGTTGTAAAATTTATAACCAAATAAACAAAGCTATAGCATATTAAACTTTAAAAATTTTAATTAATTAATTCAAATTATTCAGCATGTAAATCGACATCATCAAGAAAAAAATATTTCTGCAGGAAACACATGTAATATGAATACAAATACTACTAGAGTTATCTCTCTTAGATATTAGATAAACGAACCTTTTGAAAGAAAAAAAATACATTTGTAAATATTTTTTTAATTCGATTTTTTTGAAAATATGTATAATTAACTTATTACCTTTCATAAAAACCAACGTATTTAAGTTTTAAAGGGGCATTTCGGTAGTTTTATGGGGCATTTCGGTAATTTCTAGGGGCATTTCGGTAAATCAGGGGCATTTCGGTAATTCGAGGTACCGATTTCGATAGAACGTCAACAAGGTCAATATACTAATCAACACGAGATATAGCTATATTTTTGCCCGAAAACTATGCCTAATCTGTTCTTGTAGAATCCTTTCAACCAATTTATGTCAATTCACACATATTTTTGCAATAAACATAACAGGATGCATCAAAATAACTTTGCAGCGTACAGCTAACCATGGAAGCTGCCATTTTTTTTTTACAAGCGCCACCTATGTAAAATTGCAAAGGGAGATAACTCATTTGAAGAATCTTGACAAATTCTCGATTTTAAATGCCTGGTATCTTTTCAATACTTCGTTTGCACAAAAATATTAAAGTAAATTTTTATAAAGCCTTCCATGTTCACTTGAATTATGTATTAAGTTTTTGTACATCTTCTAGGGTTTAAAAGATATTCTTTTCTGAAATAGGCATTATTTGCACACTATCTATACAAAATTACACCTCAAGTACTTTATCCCTGGCTATATGAAAAAAGAAGAATTATAACAAAATCAACTGTTTATATTTATTTTAGACCCAAATGAATATATTAAACCTAATTTTATTGAATTTGAAGATGATCGATGAATCACCTTTTCTGTACTGTCTGCATGATTTTTACACGGAGCCGTACTTAAATAAAGCAGAAGAAAGACTTCTATATACAATTCAATATACAGTTTTAAATAAGAAATCATTATTGTACAGGACAAAATGAATGCAATTTTGATTCAATCGAAGCTTATAAATAGTTCTTCCATCTTAAACATGCTCAGAGAAGTTATTAACGTTATTTTTTCTGTTATTGAAATAGTTTTTCACAATTTTGCAACAAAAATTCCGACATCAAAGTTGGAGCTCATATTGCTTTCAATAATTTTACATTTCCAAGAAAATCTGCTTTAATTTTTAAAAAAATACCTTTTTTAAAAAATGAAATTTGAAATGTCCTTCATTTACTGCACTAAAACATTGTTTTAAACATTTTTTTTTATTGGTATAATGATTAAATAATTTTTTTTTTTTGCCACGGTAAGATATTATAATCTTGTGTTATTGGTTTGATATGAACATATTTTATCACAAATCAAACACAAATTAATAAGGCAAGAGAAATTTCCTCTTTAAGTTTTTCGATCAATACACATGCATCTATATTTATTAAATATGAATATACATTTACTAAATATAGTCTTCCCTGGCAATTTATACAAACTTAATAATCTTCTTGAGAATTACGTGTATGCGGTTTCTGTGAGAAATCTATCTTCACGCCTTCATCAATTTTTCAAAGATGAAAAACTTTAATGGTAAACAGAGTAGATTAGAAAAAAAATTGAGAAGATGCCTTTTTAAAAAAAAAAAAAGAAAAGAAGAAGAAGAAGAAGACCAATTCAGTGAATTCACATATAGGCCCATCGTTTCAAGTCAAATTGAGAAGATGCCTTTTTTTAAAAAAAAAAAAAAAGAAGAAGAAGAAGAAGACCAATTCAGTGAATTCACATATAGGCCCATCGTTTCAAGCCACGATTCGGAGTCTGCATAAAGTTGTCTTCTATCACAGTGGGAGAGGATCATACATTTTGGCTGTGGTTTGCGACGATGATATAGGCCTTATTAAAAAATTAAATGTATTTTCAGATATATGTGCAAGGTTGTTTTAACAATCAGTTGTTTGTCGAACCAAATGCATTGAAGAAACTTTAATTTATCATACATTATTCATTTAGAAATAAAGTCTTCAATTATTATGAATTGAAGATGTAATATCCCTCTGATAAGAGAGATAACTTTCTGAGGAATTATTCCTAGCAGATCAATAAATGTTTAATAAAAAGGACTATTTTATTGTCAACTCGTTCAATTCTAAACTATTGTACAAATGTCCACTTCTACTTTCTTTTGGCAATATTTTCATTAATTACTTAAACTAGTTTAACATTTATTTATACCCAGTTCCTTTAAACTGTGAAAATTGAGATATTTCTATCTCTTACCGTTAAAGTCTTCTATTTGTTACAGCAATTTCAGATGCAGAATTTTTATAATAAATATTTTGATTTTATATTTTACAAGGGTCTTATCTTTATACATATTAGGCTTTCAATAACAGTCTTTCAGAGAGCATTCACGTCCAACGTGCCCTTCATTGATAAACATATATTATTTCTGCAATGATGATTTTAACTAAAAGTACAGAATTAAGCGAGTGCCTGTTTTTAAAAATAAAATATGTAAATTTTCTATGTATTTTTTCTCAAAAATATATATTTTAATTATTTGTTATCCAATGATATTTTCTATATGTTAATCAATGATTTATTTATAAACTGTAAAAGTTTTAACTTTTTGAACCACATAGTCTTGGAGGTAATGTAAAAATTTTTTGGACATGTTAACCTTTGGCAAAACCTTAATTTATCTGTAATTCATTTGAATATATTAAATTTAAATTATTACATATATTGAATCGATTATTCCTATCTTCAATTAATTTACAGATATACCAAATTTTGATTGAAGATATAAATGCAAAAAATATCAAATATTTAATTTTGAGTTTCATTTGGTGTTAATATTACAGAAAATTTTATTATAAACTGTATATATATATTTGCTTATCTCATACAAAAAAGTATTCTAAATGAACTCGTTTTCAAATGGAATTACTGGTATATACATGCATGATAAAATCTTATTATCTGCAATATAAAAAATAGCTAGCAGCACAATGTACATAAAAACCATTGTACAAATAGAAAAAAGTCTTTTACATTTTTTCCTCAGACTATGACATGCATAAATGAGTATGCAAGGTACACATCAGATGCTTACGAAATAGCAGTTTTTTTCCTAAGGTTTCACAAATTAATCCAACAACTTACTTCTACGAAAATTCATATTCCTTTAAACCTTTAGAGACATGATAGACCAGAATTTTATATAAATTGTAATGTTTTTTAAAGAACTTCATATACATGTATACGTTTGTTTATTCTGGGATTTTGCTGGAAATTCCGAATATCGACAGGTCTTAGGCGTCAGACCATTGACCTGTCAAACATCGGAAATTCCAACACGATCACCTAAATCCCACAATAACAGTACCATTCGTAAAAAAAAAAAAGGTTAAAAAAAGCGTATTAATCTATGATGGAAGTTTAGATAAATGACGAATATGTATATCGCAAAAAAGTCATGTTAGAATGATTATAGGTTGTACTGTATCTGTATCTATAGACCAATCATTAGCATATGAAAGAGGGGGTATTTGTTTCTATATTCGTACAATGTATTATGACATTTTAAACATAAGAAGGGGTGGGGTGGCGGTCATAATACAACGTTTGTGATGAATGTCTTTGACAGTCACGTAACAACGGTCATGAAATGGGGGGGGGGGGGGGGTGGCGAGAAAAAAATTTAACTTACCTGAGAAAACTAGACAATCAAAAAAGGGAAAGAATATATTGTCCAAACTCGAAAATACTATTTTGTAGAGAGAGAGAGAGAGAGAGAGAGAGAGCGGGGTCTAGGTTTCAACTTCTTTCATAGCCCTTTTTTCATTCCAACATTACCCTCATTTAAATAACCTTATTTGTCTTCAATTACTTTGTATTTGATACGCAATGAGCAGATCGACTGATGATAAAAGCCCCCCCCCCCCACTTCGTCGCCCGAGGAGCGTTGTATTATATTTCTCCAACCAATACCGAAAATATTCATTATAATAATATCCAAAATTTGTATTAGGTAATATCCGGAACAGCACATGCGAAATTTATAGCATATATGAAAAGAGGCCTATGGGTAACACTTCTTGTTTAATTATTTGTGTAAATCATCAGCTCATACACGGACTGCTGAGAAAAAAGAAATTACCGCTGATACTTGCAATGTCCAAAATCAAAAGCATCAAAACAAACTTTAAGTTAGGATGATCTTAGGACAGGTATTATGCTGTCCTAAAGTTAGGAAAAACTTAGGAAAGTTCTTAAATTTAGGAAAGCTTCGAGAAACTGACTTAAGACTAGGATATTTCCTAAGACGTTCTTAGGACACACTATAGTCCTAATATAGCTTCATGAACATGCCTGCAGATGTCCTCTAACCAAGTTTGACAGATATTGAAAGGAAGTACTGTTTGTCAGAATTAAAGAAATTTATAGATGTATTTAAAAAAAATCAAAAATCAAAGTAGAAAATCATTTAATAATATTCCGGTAATGTCTCTCCAATAATTATAAAAACTGAAGTTAAAATTTCAATTTTCTTTTAAATCTTGATAGAGATTCTGAGCACGTGTCCTCCCGGATTTAGATTTCATCGTGCACTGCATATCATTTGTTTACACATGTATATATAAATGAGCAAGATCTTCAATTCTTCACCAGGAGACCACGATCAACCATGAAGTTTGCTGTTGCTTTCTTGTTTCTAGCCGCACTGCTGGTAAAATGTTCTTATCTTAAATATTGCGATGAATGCGAAGATTATGACAAAATATGAATTTTTTTTTTCCATTATTATATTTATTCTACTAGCTTATTTCTAAAAAGTGAAAATAATGTTGAATATTACTTTAAACACTTTCAATTTCGACTTTATCGAGGAAAAATTGAATGTGTGTTTACTTTTTAGGGTCTAACATGCAGTAAATATTCTAAAGGATACGGCCGTCCTAGACATCACTATTCATCTTACGACGACTATCAAGGAGGACAGGGTGGCGGATATCTTGGAGGACAAGGTGGAGGATATCTTGGAGGACAAGGTGGCGGATATCTTGGAGGACAGGGTGGCGGATATCTTGGAGGACAAGGTGGCGGATATCTTGGAGGACAAGGTGGCGGATATCTTGGAGGACAGGGTGGCGGATATCTTGGAGGACAAGGTGGCGGATATCTAGGAGGACAAGGTGGCGGATATCTAGGAGGACAGGGTGGCGGATATCTTGGAGGACAAGGTGGCGGATATCTTGGAGGACAGGGTGGCGGATATCTCGGTGGACAAGGTGGCGGATTTCATGGTGGACAAACTCTCCCTGGCGGTAAGTGAAATAACATACTGATATGTCATATTGTTATGTTGTGTTAATTAGAATATTTCTATTTTCCTACAACACATCTCCCGCATGTCCTTTATTTAATAAATTTTCATGATTTTCGAAAATGTACGGTACATTTTCTTTTTAAAAAATTATTGAACTCCTCTAACTATTTTCTTCGTTAAGGAGGTAGATGCCCCTACATTGCTTGCTATGTTCCGGCATGCCAGGTACAGAGATGCGATAACTTCCCCTTCGCTAGATGTGTGTAAGTAAGCAATTTAATTTCATTTTTGTAAAAATAAGTATTTACAATTACTTAGAAATCATTCAGCTACATAATCAAACTTTTAAGCGAGTTTCCATTTTATCTAAGCGCTTATGATTTTAAATTGATATTAAGAAATAATTAAATGAAATTATTCTACATGTTATATGCAGTTCTGCGTTTTCACTAAGCACATATATTTCAGGGGTTTCTGCAACGGCTGTATTGCTCGGTTTTACTACCGTGGGATAGACGTCACCCACCTCTGTGGTAGACATCACAAGAAACACAGGAAATATTAAACACTCTGATATAAATCACAGTTATGTTTATTAATAAAAAAAATCAAGCAAATTTATTTATTTATCATTTGGACTGAGAAACCTGGAATAATATGCAGACAACAGAAAGTATTCGAGATCATAGGTCCATTAAAACAATACAAATCAGGGGAGGAGCAAATACAGGCCTCTGAAACATTAGAGGTGGGATCAGGTGTCATGGAGGAGCGAGCATCCCCTGCCGACTGGCCACACCTGCCGTAAACTTTTGTCATGATTGCCAAAAAAAAAATAATCCATAGACATTTCAATATGTATTTCATGGCCTAACAAAACAAAAAAGGCCAGTCAATACTTGACTGAATGTTGTATTGTGTTTGCTAACAAGGTCATTTTATTGACCATAAAACTTGCCAAATGATGGCCTTATTTGAGACTTTTGATATTCTTCTGTCATCAACTTGTTTTTCAATAGTTTGCCTTGTTGTAGGAGTCGTTCGTTTGTAAAGCATACTATTTCATTTCGAATAACCTGATCGAGAGGCATAAACCCATACATGTATTTAGGTGATAAGGGATTATTGCTACATTAGAATGGAAGTTGATGAGTTACTAGCTGAAGTCATCACAAATATCATAAAGTTTTATTGTTAGGTTACCATTAACGTCTTTCTTTTTCGAGTAAAATATCCAAATATGAAAAAGATGTGTATGACTCTGTAGTATCTTTTTTCTCAAGCCCACTCGGTATATATTTAGTCAAAACGTAAATGGAAGTCACAATTATTACATGTAACTGATAATACGTTGTCGATATATATCTAAATATCGAATAGAAGGCCACAGCAAGTGTTCTCATCTTTTGAATAAATTCTCTTCATATAAAAACAAAATAGGTCTGATAATGAAGCGTAACGCAAGTGTTACCCATGTGAGTTTCTTTAGTTTTTTGGATAGCCCGGTCTCTATAAATTTCAATGTCAATCAGAAATTCAAAAATCTTTTATCATAACCACATAGTATTTGTTTGTATTTATAAATTTTGCAAATGAACGATGACAAGGTAAGTAAATTATCGACTTACATTCTTAGTGACAAAAGCTACTTTTCATGGGGAATGGTTGTATATATTGTTTAAAAGACGTAGGTTTTGATGTTATTGACTTCGGTAAAATTGGATTGAGTATTATATATTCAAAGTATTTACGTATTTTCGATGATGTAAAAAGGCAAAAGCATATTTTCATCGTGCAATTTTTTCAAACAGCTTGGTTTTAGTTGGAAGACGTGGTCTCCGAAGACTGTTGTCCATGAGGCACTACATATCCAAGAGTTGTTTTTTTTTTTTTTTTTTTTTTTTTTGGGGGGGGGAGTTAGATTTCCGAGCAAAAAAACTTTGCTGAAACCCAGTCATAAAGTAGGAAAATTCTCGACTTCTAGTTAAGGAAGAAGCTGTTGTCATTGAATTCAAAGACCCTAGGTTTTAATTTATAGTTAGGAATGTTCTGACAATTAAAAAAAGTATTTTAATTCTAAACTTTCATTGCAGTTTTTTTTTTTAGAATTAGCTTATGATTTACATCACTTTTAGAATATACCGTATATCCGTTTTTTTTTTTCGCGATGATCTATTTTTGCGATCATTTTTAATTCTCAAAATATAAAACACGCAGAAATTATATCAGCCATAATTTGACATAAAAACATTACCATTTTAAACAAAAAAAATCTTCAATCGTAATAAATAACTTACGCAAAATATAAACTGTACTAATCTACCCCTTTTTCGCAAAATTTCCAACACGCGAAAAAAACCGGATGTACGGTATTATATAGTACAGTACGCCTATAGTTTTTTTTTCATTAACAATACTAAATATTTCGGAATGGAGAAAATAAAGGCGCTGGGTAGGTCATTTGCTGGATACTGCAATAAATATTTGTTAATAAGGATACTGCAATGTATGTTTGTTTGTAAGGATACCGTAATGTATGTTTGTTTCTAAGGATATTACAATCTACGTTTGTTTCTAAGGATACTGCAATGTATGTGTGTTTCTAAGGATACTGCAATGTATGTTTGTTTCTAAGGATACTGCAATGTATATTTGTAAGGATGCTGCAATGTTTGTTTGTAAGGATGCTGCAATATTTGCTTGAAAGAATACTGCAATGAATGTTTGTTTGTATGAATACTGCTATGTACGTTTGTTTGTTAGGATACTGCAATGTTTATTTATTGTATGGACACTGCAATGTATGTTTATTTGTTAGGATACTGCAATATATGTTTGTTTGTTAGGATACTGTAATGTATGTAAGTAAGGATACTGCAATGTTTGTTTGTTAGGATACTGCAATGTACGCTTGTTTGTAAGGATACTGCATTGTGTGTTTGCTTGAAAAGATACTGTAATATATGTTTGTTTGTAAGGATACTGCAATGTATGTTTGTTTGTAAAGATACTGCAATGTTTGTTTGTTTGTAAAGATACTGCAATGTTTGTTTGTTTGTTTGTTAGGATACTGCAATGTACGTTGGTTTGTAAGGATACTACAATGTATGTTGTTTGTAATCATACTACAATGTACCTTTGTTTCTAAGGAAGCGGCAATGTACGTTTGTTTGAAAGGATACAACAATGTATGTTTGTTTGTAAGGATACCGTAATGTATGTTTGTTTCTAAGGATATTACAATCTACGTTTGTTTCTAAGGATACTGCAATGTATGTGTGTTTCTAAGGATACTGCAATGTATGTTTGTTTCTAAGGATACTGCAATGTATATTTGTTAATAAGGATACTGCAATGTATGTTTGTTTGTAAGGATACCGTAATGTATGTTTGTTTCTAAGGATATTACAATCTACGTTTGTTTCTAAGGATACTGCAATGTATGTGTGTTTCTAAGGATACTGCAATGTATGTTTGTTTCTAAGGATACTGCAATGTATATTTGTAAGGATGCTGCAATGTTTGTTTGTAAGGATGCTGCAATGTTTGCTTGAAAGAATACTGCAATGTACGTTTGTTTGTTAGGATACTGCAATGTTTATTTATTGTATGGACACTGCAATGTATGTTTATTTGTTAGGATACTGCAATATATGTTTGTTTGTTAGGATACTGTAATGTATGTAAGTAAGGATACTGCAATGTTTGTTTGTTAGGATACTGCAATGTACGCTTGTTTGTAAGGATACTGCATTGTGTGTTTGCTTGAAAAGATACTGTAATATATGTTTGTTTGTAAGGATACTGCAATGTATGTTTGTTTGTAAAAATACTGCAATGTTTGTTTGTTTGTTTGTTAGGATACTGCAATGTACGTTGGTTTGTAAGGATACTACAATGTATGTTGTTTGTAATCATACTACAATGTACCTTTGTTTCTAAGGAAGCGGTAATGTACGTTTGTTTGAAAGGATACAACAATGTATGTTTGTTTGTAAGGATACTGCAATGTATGTTTGTTTGTAAGGATACTACAATGTATGTTTGTAAGTATACTACAATGTATGTTTGTACGGATACTGCAATGCATGTTTGTTTGTAAGGATACAACAATGTATGTTTGTTTGTAAGGATACTACAATGTATGCTTGTTTGTAAGGATACTGCAGTGTTTGATTGTAAGGATACTGCAATGTGTGTTTGTTTTTTAGAAAACTGCAATGTATGATTGTTTATATTATACTACAATGTATATTTGTTTGTATAGACACTGCAATGTATGTTTGTAAGTATACTACAATGTATGTTTGTTTGTAAGGATACTGTAATGTATGTTTGTTTGTTAGGATACTGCAATGTACGCTGGTTTGTAAGGATACTACAATGTATGTTTTTTTCTAATGATACTACAATGTACCTTTGTTTCTAAGGATACGGCAATGTACCTTTGTTTCTAAGGATACTGCAATAAAAGTTTGTTTGAAAGGATACTGCAATGTATGTTTGTTTATAAGGATACTGCAATGTATGTTTGTTAGGATTCTGCAATGTTTGTTTGAAAGGATACTGCAATGAATGTTTGTTTGTAAGAATACTGCAATGTATGTTTGTTTATAAGGATACTGCAATATATGGTTGTTAGGATTCTGCAATGTTTGTTTGAAAGGATACTGCAATGAATGTTTGTTTGTAAGAATACTGCAATGTATGTTTGTTTGTAAGGATACTGCAATGTATGTTTGTAAGGATACTGCAATGTACGTTTGTTTATGAGGATACTGCAATGTATGTCTGTTTGTAAGGATACTGCAATTTATTTGCATATCCACTGCTCTCTCCCACTATGAACATGTATCCATTAACTACGTTGATAGCACTATAGACGCAACTGCTCTTGCTATGAGTGCAATTGCTCTTTCACACTAGTGTAGAACAAGCTCTACTACACATATATGTAATGTGTTGAGAAGTATATATATGAAATGTTTTGTAGAAGAAATGAATATAAGTTTTTAATAATATTTTTTGGAAAAAAAGAAATTCAGAACAATTTGAAATTGCTGATTGATATCTTTAAAAATTTAATTTTGGTTAATGCATTTAATTGTAATTTAAAACTTTTTGAAAATTGAAGACAACTCCATATTTTTATTTTTTCTTATCATATTTTTTCATATTTGTACAAAGAACGATAACTCTTCACACTTGGGTTATGAAACATTTAGAAAGAGCAGTTATATGTCTATTTCAAGAAGGATTTCAGCTCGTAAAATTAAATAGAAAAAACTTTAAAAATCATAGAAAAGCATTCTGGAGTTATAATCATTATTAAAGCATTCTCTTTTTTCAACATAAGGTTAAATTATTGATTTTTGTCAGAGGGTTTCAATAACGTTGATCGATGACGTCACAACTGAATCAAAACAAAAATTAGGAGATGGGATGTGACGACGGTACAGCTTGTATCCAGATAACTGTGTTTAAGAGGCAAATACTCTATAAATTGTTTGTGATTATTAGAGAAAAGGTACAATGATCAGGTATACTAATTTTTATAGCCGTGTGTTTTTCTTTACTGAAGACAACAAGCCACATCCATATGGAAGCCAGGATTTCCTCTGATATTCTTGACAACATCAAAGAATGCAAATATAAGTAATAAACAACGATTATTTAGTGAACATGGCATTATGAATAGCAATATGCCAGCAGAGCAATTGCTATTCATAACGCCATGTTCACTAAATAACGTTGTTTATTTCTTAAGTACGTTTGTTTGAAAAGATACTACAATGTATGTTTGTTTGTAAGGATATTGCAATGTATGCTTGTTTGTAAGGATACTGCATTGTGTGTCTGTTTGTAAGGATACTGCAATTTACGTTTGTTTGTAAGGATACTGCAATGTGTGTTTATTTGTTAGAATACTTCAATGTATGATTGTTTGTTAGGATACTGCACTGTATGTTAGTTTGCTAGGATACTGCAATGTATGTTTGTTCATTAGGACTGCAATATATGTTTGTTAGGATGCTGCAATGTATGATTGTTTGTAGCATACTACAATGTATGTTTGTTTTTATGGACACTGCAATGTATATTTGTTTATAAGGATTCTGCAATGTTTGTTTGTTTGTAAGGATGCTGCAATGTATGTTTGTTTGTTCATGTTTTTTATGAAGTTAAAGGAATCCAGTACAGGTAGAAGATTGGTCTCATGTTGGTTGACTGGAATGCTAAATATGTTTTATGGACAGATGATTCAAACATTTTTTTTCTGTGGAGGAGAATTAATATCATTTCTTAGGTTTAGAAAAGTTAATACTGTAATTCTTATAATTTTTTCTCCTTAGGCTTCGAAAATGAAATAGAGGAAAACATTAGGTAATACAAGTACCTCAAAAAAATTACAAATATGGACAAATCACACTCAGCAAAGATTTACAGATGGAAAGAAATTTCAGAATATGCTACCTTAGTGCTAAAAGTTTTGATATAAACTTTTTAAAAATATACCAAGCCAGGTAAATTTTTATGAGGGAACGCAAAATGGTGAAAATATTATCCAATGATAGGTTATTATATTTGCTGACAAGGTCATTACATGTATATTGATCATAAAATTGTCAAAATATTGAATTTAAACTCGGTTGTTGAAATCTCGGTAAAGTTAACTTATATGTCAGTAGTCTATATCGGTTTAAAATTGATTGTACTCAGAGTAGGTTATTAAGTATCAAATTAGTTGGCAGATGTTAACATCGTAAAGAAAAGTGTGAGTGTTGAGTAACTATTTTGAATAAATTCTGCTTCACAGGATTATAAAAATAGGTGACAAAAAAAGGACATGATTAGTACCCATAGCATTTCCAACAGTTTGTTGAGAGTCCTGGTCTCCCAAAGCAACATATAGTTTCAATGAGATAGACTTTTTTTAATCAGAACAAAATATGAAAGAGCTACATGTATAGATAACAATTACGGTCATCTTTTGATTGAGGTACATGTAACTTAACTCTACAAATTAATGAAAATTCACATAATGATAGCTTAAAAATATATTATACAAGTGGAAATCACATTGCACTAGTTCTGAAAGGTATGATGCATTCTCCACTTCAATTAAGAATATATATAACAGGGATTTTAAAATTTTAAAACTAATAGTTGGGAGCAGAACAGATACTATGTACAGAAAATGTTTTTATAACAATATCTATATATTCCTTCCATACAAAATGTTACCAAAGCATGAAATACCTTGCTTACATATAAATATGTGTAATAATTATATTTGCAAGTGCCATAAAGATATTCAAATGTTTCATGGAAATATTTACAGGTGTCACAAGGCTGCTATCACAAAATGTTTTAAAGTCAAGAAGAATCTTCTTTGGTGTCACAGTTATTACATGCGGATCCTGAAACTCCTAAAAAAGAGTTGAAAAAATTAATTCTAGCAAAAACACGCCATTTCATTGGATAGAAACATTAATTCTGGATAAAATGCCAATTCATTGGATAGAAATCTTAATTCTGGCTTAACACGCCATTTCATTGGATAGAAACATTAATTCTGGCATAAACACGCCACTTCATTGGATATACACATGTATTTAAAACATCATTCCCTACATAATAATCAATGTAACCTTCCTCACAATGCTAAATATCATATATTTATTAAAATTGATGGTAACATCTGTAGAATTTGAAGTCCTTTTTGAGAAAAATAATATCACTTTTAACTTCATGAAAAGCTATCAAAATTATACTTGCATAGCCTGGGTTGAAAAGGTTTGCGCTTAGTAGTGCACATGTATTGCATGTACATGTATGGGGCGCCATTTTGGTATTTACTGGCAAAAAGTGATATCACCTATTTGAATAGGTGATATCACTTATTCGAATTGGTGATATCACCTATTTATTTTCAATAGTTGATATCACCTATTCGAAAAGGTGATATCATCTATTCGAATTGGTGATATCACCTATTCGAAAAGGTGATATCACTTATTTGAATAGGTGATACACAGTATCACCTATTCAAAATCTGAATAGGTGATATCACCAATTGAATAAGTGATATCACCTATTCGAATAGGTGATATCACTTTTTGGCAGTAAATACCAAAACGGCACCCCATATACATGGCAGTTATAACATATATAAAGCTTAAGCTGTATTAGATCAATTAATTCCTTAAATAAACATGCAGCATCAGGCAAGATTCAAATAGTAATAAAATATATGTGTATACAATGCACAATGATAAAACATACATACGTGACAAACTCGGGGTTTTTTGTCATGACGTGTTCAAACTCAGCGAATAACAAAGCATCATCATTATCTAGATCTGCCTCGTCTATTATCTAAAGAAAGAAATATTTCTGAAATCACATCACCGTATTTCTCAATGGTCTAATTCTCATGTCAAATAGATCTTATAGTTGTTCTTTGCGTGCAATAAAATAATAATATATTCTTGATAATACATGAGTGATATGACATATTCATAATATTTAGATAATTTTTCATGGCAGGATTCTAAATAATTGCTTTGTGGAAGGTATATTCATTTCTTATCTGAATAAAATTAGAGGAAGCCCTGAAAAATTAAACAAATTTAGTAACGTTAAATGGGATCCCACTTGTATGGATATTGATAATATTTGAAGCATCAATTATTATATTATTAAGGCAGGTGGTATCGTTCTTACGGAGTCAATAAGTTGTCTTACATACGGAGTCAATAAGTTTACTTACACACGGAGTCAATAACTTGTCTTACATATGGCGTCGATAAGTTGTCATATAACGGAGTCAATAACTTGTCTTACATACGAAGCCAATAAGTTGCCTTATAACGGAGTCAATAAGTTGTCTTATAATGGAGACAATAAGTTGTCTTATAACGGAGTCAATAAGTTTTCTTATATACGGAGTCAATAAGTTGTCTTACATACGGAGTCAATAAGTTGTCTTACATACGGAGTCAATAAGTTGTCATAAAACGGAGTCAATAACTTGTCTTACATACGAAGCCAATAAGTTGCCTTATAATGGAGTCAATAAGTTGTCTTACATACGGAGTCAATAAGTTGTCTTACGTACAGAGTTAATAAGTTGTTTAAAATATAGAATCAATAAGTTGTCTTACATAGAGTCAATAAATTTTCTTACAAACAGAGTCAATAAGTTGTCTTACATACGGAGTCAATTAGTAGTCTTATGTACAGAGTCAATAAGTTGTTTAAAATACAGAGTCAATAAGTTGTCTTACATATGGAGTCAATAACTTGTCTTACATACGGAGTCAATAAGTTGTCGTACTTACAGAGTCTATAGGTTGTCAACTTGTACTTTCAGAGAACATAGGTTGTAGTACATGTACTTACAGAGTCAATAAGTTGTCATATGTACAGAGACAATAAGTTGTTGTACTTTCAGAGTTAGTAAGTTGTTGAACTTACAGAGTTGATAAGCTGCTCCATGTCCGATTCTCCAAGAGTCTTTTCACCTGTCAACCTGTCAATCATCTGCTTTAAGTCTTCTCTACCGATTACTTCATCTTCATCGAAATCTGAAAATAATCAAAACGCTCTTAAAATTTCTCAAAGACCTATTACCTTTACTTTGTTGTTTTTCTTTTACATCGCATTGCAATTTAAAAAATATATATACATATTGAAAACTCAATTTTGTTTTATTCATCGACAAAATATTCACTTACCGTAAATTCTGAAGGCATATTCAATTTTGATTGACAAAGGGGCGTGGTCACAGAAAACGGACATCATATCTAGGAAATCCTCAAACGTCATACTATCATCAGTGGAGGACGAAAACACCCTCACGATCCGATCTTTAAACGGATTCACCTGTCAATCAAATCATACATATGGTAGCTTCAAATCAAGTAAGTACTGAATGAAGAAAATGACTACCTATATAAATTTAACTTAATTTTCCCATCAGAAAAAAATTCTTACCCATACCTTACATGTTAAATTCAAAAATAGATTTTGTGTGTGGAAACCATATAGGACGTCTGTTGTTTTATAGATAAATGCAAATATTATCAGAATTTTCGTAGAAGAATTAAAGTACTTACCATGAGTTCTGGAAGATGAAATAGCTCATCACGTGATAATTTGGTGTGTTTCGTCACTTCCTTTTCGTCGTCGTCGTCAAATACCAAACTCTGGAATCTTTTAAAAACACTAAAAAAGGAAACGTTAACTATTTACTCAGATGATTATTTCAAGCTCAAAAAATGTTATCTTCATACACCGGCACTGTAAGTTAATGTAAATATAAAGTTCCTTAAAACCTTTGACTTATGAAGCAAGAAATGAAGGTGTCTACTCACTGGTGAATTTCTTTCTTCGTAAAATATGTCAGTTCCTTAAAATGAGAAAAACCACTTGATTCAATCAGATTCAATGTAAAACAGAGAAGTTAACGAACAGTGGTCTATCTAAAACAGATCCATAAACAATACCAATATACATGTATAAAGAGGTCATTAAAAATGGACCTCTGGAAATTTCAGAGGTCATATCAGGTGCCTACGGGGGAGTAAACATCCCCTACATGTATTGACCGTTCTTTTCTTTTTTAAAATAATAATCATGTTTATTTAATAATAATTTAATTTTGGTTGTAATGCGTCATTTGATTGGATTAAAAATTAATCTAAATTGTATAATCTGGAATGAAGCTTATTTTAACCTATGTTATAGATATAGCATAACTTGGGGTAGTTTATGTTTTTCTTGTTGCTGTTGTTGTTGTTTTAATACAAAAGCTTCATTCCTAACATTCATAACAAACAAGGGAAGCCTCTTATATTTTAACCACAGCTCAATCCAAATAAAATAAGAAGATTGTTTAAGCCCTAAAATGAATTGATTTACTGTTTCTAAACTTTAATGTATAAAAATATATTTACTTTTTTAACATTGAAAATTTAAAAACCAGACAATATAAAATACCTTGTTTGCCTGAAACATGCATGTGTTAACATGTACATTGTAATTTTTCCATTTTTCTTGGAGGTCTGCGGGATATATACTGAAGTGATATTAACTTGGTTCCTGTTTATATTAAGGTTGCTCTACCCTCACCTGATAATCCTCCAGTTCTTGCTTTGTGAAGATGCTAGATCCGCCACCCATAACAATTATTGTAAACGTGTCACATCAGCACTGCACAAAGAAAAGCAATTTTGTCAATAATCCATGCCATTTTTTATCTTACGATGGTAAAGTACTTTCTTTTAAAATTAAAATTTTCAGCAGTTGCTGTGGGCACTTAATGCAAGTATTGTATACATATCAACAGAAGAGGTATATATCTATTTTCTTTTTTATTAATTGCTGTCTGGCTAATTGATTTCATTTTATGTCTAAGTCTTTTTCTATGGTCTAATGTTGATAACACTCTTTTGCTACTTAAATACTAATTTCATTTTCTCTTTCGGCTGAACTTTCCGTAACCTTTCTTGCTTATTATTTCGGGTAGATTTGGGAGTTGACTTTGATTTGTAATGAAAAGTAAAATATATTGTACTTAAACGACCTATCCGTATCGACTTAAAGCAGTTAAGTTTTATTATTTAACATGTGTTTTATACATGCAAAATAATGTTCATAAATAACTCATCATCATTATTCACATCAGTAACACACAAATAATTGTACATATATGTTTATGTTTGTATGTTTCAGAATACGAAGTCTTAATTTATTTCCTATTAACAAGGAACAGCTGATCAAAAAAGAGGTATTAGTAAATATGTTGGTTGTATTTGGCATAAGATTGTAAAATCTAGGTGATAAAATCATAAAAAAAATCATTTCGAATAAAGATATGGGCAAACAGCCTTGTATCCAAAGTCAATTATCGTTGAAAGTGCTATAAAACACTCCAGTATATTGCGGGAGACCATCGTTGAAAAGCCATAAATGTTTGCAATAGACGAGGGAAAATGACAGAAATTATAAAATATTTATCATTGTCATTTTTTTATTGTAAATTTTGAATCAACAAATGACCCAAAAATCAAACAATTCTCAGATAAAGAAAAGGTTTATATCTTTATCATATCTCACGTTCTGTTGAATTCTTGGATACAAAGTTTGATGTATAATCTATTGATATGGAAAAAAAAGATATGATATACATGTAATCGGTATTAACTGTGTAAAGAGTACAATGTAAACAAGTGATAAAAATATACAACTGTACATTATTGGTGCAAATTCCATCAATACCATCAAACAAATTATATACTATGAAATTTAACCATGATGAAATTAAAATTGCAACATAAATGGAACAAAATTAACTAATGATATGGTGACGTATACAACATATCTAGGTATTGCTTTCATTCACTGTCTTTTATTTCTTACAAGATTAAAGTGTAGATAAAAGTTAATTGTTAGTTCTACATGAAAGTCATTACTGTGAAAAATTTAAAAGAAATGAGATTGGCTTACAACTTAAGGGATTTTGAAAGTTTTGCACACCAATTTAAACAAGCTGAGTTAAACAACATACAGATCAATATTAAAAATAAATCTGTTTGCTTAATTATCTCGTCTTTTATTTACCTTATATATTATTTTAATTGTTAATTGGACCTTTGAGATTGAATACTGTTGTTTATCTCAATATACATGTATATTTCATACTTGTAATTACAGAATAAACAGGAGTGGGGGTACTTTTTGAATATATATGTAGTCGATAAGTTTTAATCAGTATCATGCTTATTTATTATACTAAGCATTGTGTACTCTTAATTTTGATGAAAAGAAAATAACAAAGTGTTGAAGGTAATAAAACTGGCATAAAAAGATAATTATCCTTTACAGGTACGTGTAAATCTTCCAGAAAAGAACAATTTGAATTTATGAATTTTAGGGAAAATGTTACTTACCTAGCGTTAATTAAATCCCGTTGAGTACACAACCCGTTACAAGACATTCATGTCTCTTCTGCACGTCTGTCTTATCTACGTGCATTAT